AATAGAAATAGGCAAGAAATACACTAAAACAGGTTTAGTTTCAACAAGTAATAAAAAAACAACTAAAATAACACATCATTGTCACAATCACATTAATACGTATTAAAAAATATTGGTAATATCAAGTATTGGCAACTGTGAAAGGAACCAAGTATTCATAGACTCTTTTTCTTCATCTTCTTAAAACAGTCTCTTTATCATATTTTGCAGTGCTGGTTTGGTGGAGGTGTATTCTTTTAGCCTTCCTTTGTCTGGGAAACTCTTTATTTCACATTCCATTTTAATTGAGAACCTTGCAGAGTAGAGCAGTCGTGATTGCAGGCCTTTGTTTTTCATTACTTGGAACATTTCTTGCCATTCCTTTGCGGCTTGTAGTGTTCCTGTTGAGAAGTCAGATGTTAGCCGTATTGGGGCTCCTTATATGTTACTACCTCTTTTTCCCTTGCTGCCTTTGGGATTCTTTGTCTTTGATATTTTCCATTGTAATGATGATGTGTCTTGGAGTGGGCTTCATTGGGGTCCTCTTGAGTGGCACCCTCTGTGCTTCCTGGACTTGTGTGACTTTTTCTCTCCTCCAATTGGAGAAGTTTTCCATCATTTCTTTTTCAAACAGGTGCTCTATCCCTTCCTCATTCTCTTCTCCTTCTGGTATTCCTATTATACGGATATTATTACATTTCAGGCTGTCTTGTATTTCCCTAAATGCCTCTTCATTCTTTTTTGAGTGTTTTTTCATTTTCTTTCTCTTTCTGGGAGCTTTTTTCTACCTTGTCCTCCAGCTCACTGATTCAATCCTTGGCTTCATCTAACCTGCTTCTGATTCCTTCTACTGTGTTCTTCAATTCAGAAATGTTATTCTTCATTTCCTCTTGTCTCTTATTGATAGTTTCTATGTCCTTTTTCTTGCTGATATAGTTTGCAGTAAGTTCCTTGTAGTTTCCCTGTAGTTTTTGGTAGCTCTCTCTGAGCTCACTGAGCTCATTGAGCTTCCTTAGAACCGTTGTTTGGAACTCAGTATCTGATAGTTTACTTGCCTCTATTTCATTTAGTTCTCTTTGTGGGGATTCCTCCTTTCCCTTCGAGTGGGGGGTATTTCTTTGGCTTCCCATTATTTGTGAGACTCTCCTCTTTTGCTTCTGCTTCTTATATTGATCTGTCTTGATTTCCTGACTTTGTGGTGTGAACTTCTATGGTTGGAGACTGCTGTTTTTACTTTCCGGAGCTGCCTCTGATAATGTCAGATGTTGACCCTGTTTGACCTCAGGCAGTCTGTTCGAGACTTCTAGTAATCTACTGTTTGTGGCTGTCTCCTTCAGCTGTTAATCTATTCTCTCTGCACTCAGCAGGCCGCTTTAGACAGCTCAGGGCGGGGTGGAGTCTCTCCTGGGCTCGGGTTATTAGGACCTTTCAGGCTACTGCCATATGCGGGAGGAGTCCGCACTGGGATCCCGCTAGCTACTCTCTCCGTTCTCTCCCCAAAGCCTCTGTCCCCATTCTCTCCTCAAGTGTTACCAGACCTCTCTGTGCCCCCTTTCATCAGGGATTTACTGTCTATGGTTCCCACTCTGCACACAGCAGGCAGCTTAGTCAGCACAGGGCGGGGTGGAATCCCACCTGGGGGCAGGGCTAGTGGGTCCTCTGAGATATATGCTGCTCAGGGGGAGTGGTCTCTGCCTGAGCAAGATGGCTGCTGCCGTATGGGGGATGAGTCAGCACCGAGATCCCACTGGCTACTCTCTCAGTTCTCTCCCCAAAGCCTCCTTCCCCAGTCTCTCCTCAGGTGTCTCTAGCCCACTTTGCCCCCGCCTTTGCCAGAGACTAGGGTAAGTGGCTGCACATAAAAGTTTTGCATTGGCCCTTTAAATGGTTCTTTGTGTCTCCAGCCACCTGTCTCTGGCAGACAGCAACCCTGCCGCTTTTCGCAGCTGGTTGTTTTCTGTGTACTTTTTGGGCTCTGGTGCTGTAGGCTAGAGATCCCCACTTTTGGTTTAGACCCTGCTCTCTCAGGGGGATCCAACAGGCCATTTCAATATTCTTCTGGTGCTGCTGCCAGTGGATGCCCCGCCCGCCTTCTCAGGTGTGTACCGCACTCTTTAGCAGTTAGATTACACTAAAGCCGAGTCTTCTGCTTCCAAGATTACAAGGCTCCTCTCTTGCTATTGTTCAGTTGTTCGTTCCAGGTGATTTCTCCACAATTTAGTTGTAATCCCCAGTTGGTCCTGGGAGGAGGTCAGTGTGACTTCCACTCACTCCTCTGCCATCTTGATTCCAGAGAAGCTCTTTAACTGCAAAGACAAATTTGGAAAAAGGTTGGAGGTAGTGGGCATAATATAGCATAAATATGTATCTCCAAATACTTATCTTCAAATATAATATTTCATATTTATCTCCAAAGTCAGGTTGTATTCATTAAATATATATAGCTTTCTGTATGTCAATCATACTTCAAGTCATTATAATAATTTTTGTAATTAACAAAGAAAAAAATGATTCAAGGGAATAAACATATTGAATGTCAATATATTTAAATTTAATATATTAATTAGCCTCCTCATTGTTGTATCTGAACTTCTAGAAGGTTGACACCAGTTTATATTCCTTCTATCAATCCCTTCTTCTGTTTTAATTCTGGGTAAAATAATTATTGAACTTTGTCAATCTGAAAGGCAAAAATGATATAACTCTTATTTAATTTGCATTTCTTTGCTTACTAGTGAAGTTGGTAATCTTTAACTGTTTTTAGTTTTTATTACATTCTCCTCTTTTTCTTATTGATTTGTAAGAGCTGTTAATTTAGTACTATTTTTAATCTCTCATCTATTAAGATTCTAAAATATATTCTACAGTTTAGCAACCACCTTTGTGTGTTTTTTATTTTCTTGTTATCCTATTTTTTAATGCATAAAATTAAATAGATTATTGTTTTCGTTCATGATTTCTAGCTTTAGTCATAGAAAATGCTTTTCAACTCTATAATAAAAATACTGAATTTTCTTCTAGTATATTATTTTTTTCTTGCATGTTAATTCTTAATTTACCTGGAATTTATTTTATTGAAATTTATTTTACTGAAGTTTATGTGCAACTTTTCCTGCTAAATATCTAGCCAATTACAGCCAATCATCTACATTTTTTTTCACTGAATTAAAATGCAACCTTTCATGTATACTGACTTCAAATATATTTCGATATAATTCCTTATGCTTCTGTTTTATCGACTGTATATTTTTGTGTCAGTATCATGTTGCTTTATTATTTATAGTTTTACAATTTATGTTTAAATATCTTGTAGGGTCTGTTTTTATTACTATTTTTATTTCTGATTACTCTCATATTTACAGTCTTCCAAGTGAACTTTAGAATTTTCAAGACCAAAAAATAATCTTGGTAATATATGTATTTATTAAGAAAGAATCACCTATATAATATAAAATATTTCTATTAAAATATATAGTATATCTCCTTTTGGAGAAGTTTTGTACTGTTCTGTGTATTTCTTATTAAGTTTATGCTAAAGAATTTGATTTTTTTTCAAAGATGCTGTGACTGAAATCATTTTTTACAATAATATTTTCTGTGTTTTATCTATAAAAATTATATTCATAAAATGAATTTACTTAATTCTCCTTTTTGTTAGAATTTTTCCATTAGTTTTCAAGAGACATTAATTATAACTCATGTTCCTATATAATTGAGTTTGCTAGCACTTTCTTTATCTTTGCCTTGTTTCTACCTTTTGGAGAGCATTTTTCTAGTTATTTACCATTAAGGTTGATCCTAATTTTGGTTTTTTTCTTTTGAGGGGGAAATGATTAGTTTAGATGTAAATAGATATAGCTATACATAAAGACATAGACATATATATAAAAACTGTGATTGGAGAATTGTATTCTTACTAATTTTTCTTTTAAAATTCAGTAGTAAACACTGAAGTTTATCAAATACTCTTTAGTCTAAAAAATGTTGTCTTAAACTTACCATATGTAAGATACGGTGTTTGTGGATGCAGTGTACCCCTGGGGATCTCAGGCTGAGAAGCATAGCTCAACAACACACCTCTTTTTATTCATATGAGCAGTATGTTCAGGTCTGTTTAAGTATCTACATTTAGAACATATTCATTTCTGATCTTATCTGATACCTATTTGATTTCAGTTAACAGGTTCACAGGGTTTGAATTTGAATATGAAAGAATGATAGCTCGTTTATTATTTAAAAATATTTTTCTTAAAATTATGATTTTTCCCACTCTTCAATATTTAACCTAGAAACTAAAAAGTATTTTCATCATCACACTATTTTGGTGCCTTGAGTCTACCCCATCACTATGTAAACAGAAAGAATACTAAGAGTTTGATGATTTTTTTACTTCTCTCAAAATATAAAATCTTTTCATAAATCAAAGTTACTGAATTCAGAAAGATATACCTTCTAATTGAAAGTTATTTTTTTATATATGTAGGAAAAAGTCCCAAGCTCTTACACTGAATGTACACTTTGTTTTGGTCTTTAAACCTAAGGGTCAGATGTTGAGTGAGCTTCTATTAGCTTTATTTTGAACAAAAGATGATGTTCCAAATACTAGAGATGCAGACACTGATTAAACTAAGTAAGTGTTCTCTTAGTCACTGACCTCTGTTTTAGTTGAATTCAATTTAGAGCCTTTTGTAAAATATATGTTGTTTTGCCTCACAGTTTGTGCCATACACTGTATTAGTCTCTTTTATAGCTGTCAAATGCTGTAATTGTGGTAACTCTAGGAAGTTTCTATTATCATTCCCATTATTTCCATTTTGTAGCCAAGAAAACTGGTGTACAGGGAGGTAAAGTAACATCCAAGACCACATTCCTAATGATTGAAGTTCTCAGATTTAAGTTCAGATCTGTGTGATCCCAAATCCAGGGTTCTTTCTATTATATGCCTGCCTTATTTATGTCCCTTTACCATTCCACGTCCTGACTGAATGTTTCTTCTCTCTCTTTTGCCCCTTCTCCTGCAGGCCCGTGACCAAGGTGTAGACTAAGAGGTGGAGTCATGCTTCACACGGCCATATCATGTTGGCAGCCATTCCTGGGTCTGGCTGTGGTGTTAATCTTTATGGGGTCCACCATTGGCTGCCCTGCTCGCTGCGAGTGCTCTGCCCAGAACAAATCTGTTAGCTGCCACAGAAGGAGACTGATTGCCATCCCAGAGGGCATTCCCATCGAGACCAAAATCTTGGACCTCAGCAAGAACAGACTGAAAAGCATAAACCCTGAAGAATTCATGTCATACCCTTTACTAGAGGAGATAGACTTGAGTGACAACATCATTGCAAACGTGGAGCCAGGAGCATTTAACAATCTCTTCAACCTGCGTTCCCTTCGCCTAAAAGGCAATCGCCTAAAATTGGTCCCTTTGGGGGTATTCACGGGGCTATCCAACCTCACCAAGCTTGACATTAGTGAGAATAAGATCGTCATCTTACTGGACTACATGTTCCAGGATCTGCATAACCTGAAGTCTCTAGAAGTGGGGGACAATGATTTGGTTTATATATCACACAGGGCCTTTAGTGGGCTGTTTAGCTTGGAGCAGCTCACCTTGGAGAAATGCAACCTAACAGCCGTACCAACAGAAGCCCTCTCCCACCTCCGCAGCCTCATCAGCCTGCATCTGAAGCATCTCAATATCAACAGTATGCCCGTGTATGCCTTTAAAAGATTGTTTCACCTGAAACACCTAGAGATTGACTATTGGCCTTTATTGGATATGATGCCTGCCAATAGCCTCTATGGTCTCAACCTCACATCTCTCTCAGTCACCAATACAAACCTGTCCACAGTACCCTTCCTTGCCTTCAAACACCTGGTATATCTGACCCACCTTAACCTCTCTTACAATCCCATCAGCACTATTGAAGCAGGGATGTTCTCCGACCTGATCCGCCTTCAGGAGCTTCATATAGTGGGGGCCCAGCTCCGTACCATTGAGCCTCACTCCTTCCAAGGGCTCCGCTTCCTTCGTGTGCTCAATGTGTCTCAGAACCTACTGGAAACTTTGGAAGAGAATGTCTTCTCTTCCCCTAGGGCTTTGGAGGTCCTGAGCATTAATAACAACCCACTGGCCTGTGACTGCCGTCTCTTGTGGATCCTTCAGCGGCATCCCACACTGCAGTTTGGTGGCCAGCAGCCCATGTGTGCTGGCCCAGACACCATTCGTGAGCGATCCTTCAAGGATTTCCATAGCACTGCTCTCTCTTTCTATTTTACCTGCAAAAAACCCAAAATTCGTGAAAAAAAGTTACAGCATCTGCTAGTGGAAGAAGGGCAGACAGTCCAGCTAGAATGTAATGCTGATGGAGACCCTCAGCCTGTGATCTCCTGGGTAACACCTCGAAGGCGTTTTATTACCACCAAGTCCAATGGAAGAGCCACCGTGTTGGGTGATGGCACCTTGGAAATCCGTTTTGCCCAGGATCAAGACAGTGGGATATATGTTTGCATTGCCAGCAATGCTGCTGGAAACGACACCTACACAGCCTCCTTGACTGTGAAAGGATTCACCTCAGACCGCTTCCTTTATGCGAACAGGACCCCTATGTACATGACTGACTCCAATGACACCATTTCCAATGGCACCAATGCTAATACTTTTTCCCTGGACCTTAAAACAATACTGGTGTCTACAGCCATGGGCTGTTTCACATTCCTGGGGGTGGTTTTATTTTGTTTTCTCCTCCTTTTTGTGTGGAGCCGAGGGAAAGGCAAGCACAAAAACAGCATTGACCTTGAGTATGTGCCCCGAAAAAACAACGGTGCTGTTGTGGAAGGGGAGGTGGCTGGACCCAGGAGGTTCAACATGAAAATGATTTGAAGGTCCACCACTCACTCTATTGTTTCTGAGTCATTGTCAGTAACCAGTAGGACAACTTGGCACAGTAAATTACTAGGTTAAAAGGCAGCTTAGTGTAGCTGCCCCTGTGTCAAAGCAGGGTCCAAGGAAGTAGGAGGACTTCTTATTGAGACTCTCCACCTAGAGGCAGGCAGGCATGTGTCAAAGTCCTTCACACAGCGGGATACTAATTGTTTGCTTTGCAAATATTGCCATTCTGGGGATCTCAGTAATGAACCCGAACCTTTGGCTCATGCTCATGGACGGTTATTCAACATTTTCTACCACTGCAGAAACAAAAGAAAAAATTAAAAGGAGCAACCTACAATGTAGGATTTACATATTAAAAAGACACATTTGTCTAAAATATACTCTACAGAAAAATTTGTATCTATGATTATCATTTATTAAATCCTTGCATCATACCATATTGTTGGTTCACCACCACAAAGAAATCAATATATTCTTTACTATTCCATTTTTTTGAAACATATATGCTGTATATGTTTTAAAGCAATATGAATGAGAGGTTGTGTTTTTAGTTACTCACCACTATAGATCCAAGTGTGATTTCACCTTTCTTTCCATACAGATAACGCTGAGACTAGATCCCTGGAGCTGTGGGCAGAGATATGTTGAAAGATATGTTTGTCTGATGTAGGATGTCAAGAAACAGGACCCAAGGCAAAACTGTTCAACTCTGTTAACTCCTATTACTATAAATAAAGGCATGTGCCTAGTTTTGATACAGAATGGAATATTTTTATACTTGTGATATCACTCTGGACCAGTTTACTGTAACAGCACCCTTGGTTTCTCCTGAAGGTGGTAGGTCTCTAGTTATACCTGTAAAACACAAGGTAGGTGGTAAAAATGAAAATGAACCATTTAAGGACAACTTGATTTTACTCCAGTCAGTTGCTACTAATGGGTTAACAGAAAATGAAGGAGGATATAATTGTTACATAGTATACACATGGGGTAATATTTATCTCATAGCTAAGGTCCAGAATTCAGATGTTCAAAAGTTCTCTGGATAAGTTCTCAGATGCCAACACAAACCAGGGAGATCCATGTATAACATGATGTTAATGCAACTAAGAATCTGTCTAAAACATGATAGCTGCCTGAAGGCTGGATGGTTGTCAGTCAAAGGAAACGTCTAGCCACTCTGATATTGTCTATTCAAATACTATAGACAAAGTATTACTTTGAATGGGCATCTTCAGGGTTTCTCCATGCTTCCTAAGTAGAAAATCAGTTTTTATTTTGAAAATTATCATGTGTAGACCGAGAGATATCTGTCCTTTTTTTTAAAGTGAGGAGAAACAGGTAGATTAAAAAGCACTTGCCAATTTTTTTCCTCTAATGAGGAAAAACTAAGATGATGCACCTACGAATATGTTAAATTATGCTAACATCTTTTTAAAAAGGGTTTTTAACATTTATTTTTAGAGAGGGAAAGAGAGGGAGAGAAACATCAATGTGTGGTTGCATTTCACACGACCCCTGCTGTGGACCTGGCCTGCAACCCAGGCAGGCACCGTACACTGGGAATTGAACCAGCAACCCTTTGATTCAAGGGCTGGTGCTCAACCCGCTAAGCCACCCCAGCTACGGAAAATAATGCTGACACTTTTACGCCTCTAACTCAAGGATGTTGCCCAATTCAATTTGCATTAATAATTGTTATTCAAATTTAAAATATTATAGGTTTTGTTTTTTAAATGGGATCATGGCATTGCCACCAGAGATTTGGTTCGTAGAAGATATAATTCCATTTGGCTAAATGTTGAGTGAATGGATTTTCAAAGCATATATTTGTATGATCTGAGAAAACATTAAATATAGAATGTATTCATGAAAGTGAAATATTTAATCAGCATAGAACAGAGAGGAATTTTCTACACTTAGCACATTTTGACAGGGACCTGAAAAGGAGCTTCTTTTTGGAGAGTATAGAAGGTGAAATACAAGTTTTTTTTTCTTGACATGTCAGATTGGGGGTTTGACTTTCAAAAAGCTGGCATTTGTTTTAATATTTAAAACTTTGAGCAATTTCAATGAAATTAAATTGCCCTCCCCAAAAGTGACATGTCCAGAAATTGTTTTGCTAATTGTTAAAGCCCATTTCTTCCTGGAGAAAGGGTGGAAAATGAGATAAATATTGAAGAATTGCTCTTTGAGTCATTTTTCATTTGACTCAAAAGATGATTATCATAGATCTTTTAGAAATTAATTCCCCACTTATGGTAATTACTGCATTTATATCTAACAATACAAATCAAGATCTGTTGTAAATTTTAGCAAAATTTCAACTTGTGTGCAAAAGAAATGGGTCTCTCAAATTAAAAAAAAAAAAAAAGCAAAGTTAAAGACTTTTGGAGGAAAGTCTTCCAAAATTGAGTAGGAAATACTTATCATAGTTTTGCAATATTGTGTGGAGCAAGTACTTAATTAATTGTCCAACAACAAAAAAAAAGTGGAAGAAAGAGAGAGAGAAACATTGAGCAGTTAATAAAGGGGCTTTGTAATTTAACTGCTGTTTTCTGTCAAAATTAACAAAAAAATAATTTATGAAATTGGATTAAAATTAACCTATGAAAAGGTTTACTTAAAAAAAGTATCTGTTCCATTGGAAGAAGAGAGATTACTCTCTCCAGTGTTTCCATACTCTGATCCGTGGACAAATATTTACTTAAAATATTAATAAACATTCTTCCAAAAAAGAATCCCATAAACTAATAAGTTGCAAAAATGCTGCATTTTGTAATCATTTCTTTGAAGTTCAAAAATCTATATGAGCCTAATAAATCCTCTAAAATTCCTGCAAACAAGAATTCTGTTTAATATTGTTCATCTTGGGTTTTTTCTAACTTTTCTGAGCACAAAGTACCACTTTTCATGTTGTAACTATTATCTTGAAAAACGAGTTCTACAGAGCCCTATTTTGTCAACATTAAAGTAGTATTCTTCTGAAATATTCTTAAACCCAAGGTTTCTAATAAAAGTAAAATTACATATTTGAATTGGGCTCCAGTAGATTATAAAAAATATATCATTTCCTTTATAACTGATTATAAAAGTGTACTGGCCAGATATTTCTAGGAGAATCTTCTACTTTCTGCCTGAAACATCATAGTAATAGATTTATAGGTAATTGAATGACCACTTAATTTTCTACTTTCTCACTATTGGTACAGATCTTCATTTCCTTTTTCTATCTGCAAAGCTCTGATCTTGGGTTCCATTGACTATGGTTCTGGGCCTCTAGTATCCAGCTGCACAAAAGGAACTTTCCCTTATGGCTTCAGGTTACCTCTTTGTTAGGTCAAACTAGACCATGGTAGAAACTAACAACTTAGACAAGCACATGGGCCAAATTGTCTCTCTGTCATCTCTGAATCATCATCATCCCAGAGAATTTTTCTCCTAAGAAGAAATGCAGTTGTTTGGCTCTGCAGTTAGTTCTTGGTTGACTGGTTCTTTGTCTCTGTGTGTATTAAACATTTTCAGAAAAGAATTTATTCTCTGTAGACATTAAATCTCTAAAAGTATCTGACTGAGATTCCTGATGGTCTGAAACAATTGATCCCTGCTCCCAAACGTCTGAAACATATGTTATTAGAATTTGATAGCTCACCAAATGATTTAGGCTAACGTGTTCCTGACAAGGGATTTCTCCTTCTGCAAATTCTTTGTTGCTCACTTTTTAAAATGGCTTTCATTTTCATTGTGTTTCTAATTATGAGTTTTCCAAATATTCCCAAAGTTTGAAAATGTAAACTAAGTATTGCCAAGATTTCTACTTCCTAGTTCCTGAGGATGTTTGTTAAAACTCTGCTTTTGCTCAAGTTTCTAGAAATTTTGCTCATCACCAACAAATACCTAGCAGTACAAAGACATTTAGAAATTGTTGTTTAGTGTTTAAGGATTCTTTTTTCATTGTTCTGTCAAATATTTTGTTCTCTTCAGTTCTCAGAGGAGCCCAGAATTACAACCTTCTCTGACTTTTTTAAAAGGGATTATTTAAATCACACGTGCATTGAAGCCTGACTTTGTCATTTCCCAAGACTCAAGTAGGAACAAACATACTTCTATATTAGAAGATATATTAGAAGAGAAGATGTGATCTTGGACAAGAAAAGTTGAGTAGAGCCCCATGTCAATTAACTTACCCTTTTAGGGTCTCCCTTCATCTGTATGTTAAGACATTTGTTTTAACTTCAGGGACTGTGCTCAGAAGCTATTGAACATCAAGTATATGTCTTGCGACATTCTAGGAAAGAAACAAATATATGTTATTTTCAGCTTAGAAGGCTAAGACCTGATGAAAAGATTTGTCAAGAGTTTAAATAAAGATTGGAGGGAGATACTTGGATCCATTTTAATTGTATCCCTTTATTACTAATTTTTATACTTATCTTCTAACTAAAGAAAAATCATAGATTATGCTTTTCTTTAACTTCTATGGGTGTCTTTTGTATACCAATTCATTGTGTCCTGCTCAGTTTTACATAGCTCATATGAGCTATTTCCACAGCCCTGTGGGAATAGCTTCACTGTCACAGGAATCTGTGGCAGTGAACCTAGAAATAAAACCTTTGGGGTCAAAGCCATTCATTCTACTCAGTAATTAGGTAAATACGTATCATCTCTATTACTGGGATTAAGGTCTTAGAACACCCAATTAGACTAGTACATCATGTGCCTGGTTATTTCCATTGACTTTGTAACATTAGCTTTGGAAGCTCCACTCTTTCTGATAAAATCCTGAATATTTTCTGATTGAGTAGTTTTGGAGTTATTCTGCCTGTAGGTATGGAAAGCCTTGAGAAGTGAAATATTAGCTGACATGTTGATTTTAGAATGGTATCTTTTGGTTAGGCAACAGAGGGTGCTTCTTTGGCACACTTGTTATGAATCTCTCAGTTTCTCTACCCTTAACTCCTTCAAAAGCCATTCCCAGGAGGGCCTTCTCC